ACACACACACTGTCACACCTGACTGGACTGTAGACACTGCTAGAGCCACTGCTGTCCCTCTCCTCTCACACTCACCCTGAATTCACCAGCACACAAACACACTGTCACACCTGACTGCACTACAATATAGAGTAGTTCAAAGAAAACCAGTGCTGATTAATTGTCTCACAGATATGGCAATCACTTAATTGTTTGGTTCATACTCAGTTAATTAGTTTATTAGAATTCCTGCTCTTTTGGTCGCTTGCACCATTCTTACCATGTTGCTCTCGACGATGATGTGCCAGGAGCAGCTGATGCCTGCTGGGTAATCCTTCTCGGGCCAGTTGGGGGTCTTGACTGAGCCCTGTGACTTCGTCAGCTTGCCGCCACAGAACTGGTGCTCTGGGGGACGGAGAGTGCGAGGAGTCAGAGAAGTGAAGGACGTGCTCCTTTTTAATTTCCACACTGGAAATGATTCTGCTTGCACCCCATCAGATATGACATTGCCAGGAGCCAATTAGCTGGCATGACGCAGCATTGACCCACCCTATGGTATCATCATGCCCACTGTCCCAAACCCCCCCCCCCCAGCCCTGTGCATGTGTGAAAACATGGCCAGCAGCCATGTCACCCTGCAACTCACTGGAGCCTGGCCAGTGCCTGGATGGGAGACCTCCTTGGAAAGCTAAGGCTGCTGCTGGAAGAGGTGTTAGTGGGGCCAGCAGGGGGCGCTCACCCTGCAGTCTGTGTGGGTCCTAATGCCCCAGTATAATGACGGGGACACTATACTGTAAAAAGGCGCTGTCCTTCAGATGAGACGTAAAACCGAGGTCCTGACTCTCTGTGGTCATTAAAAATAGGGTGTTTCTTGAAAACAGCAGGGCACACCTCCCCCGGTGTCCTGGCCAAATTTCCCCCTGGCCTTTACCAATCATGGCTTCCTAATAATCCCCCTCTCTGAACTGGCTTCATCGCTCTGTTCTCCTCCCCACTGAGAGCTGGTGTGTGGGGAGAGTACTGGTGCATCATCCAGGTGGGGCTGCACACTGGTGGTGGTGGAGGGGAGTCCCCATTACCTGTAAAGCGCTTTGAGTGGAGTGTCCAGAAGCACTGTGTAAGTATACGGAATTATTATTATAAAAACATGGGAGCTGTCGTCTCTGCGTACAGGGGTGGTGGCCCAGATGGGACGTGTGCTCACTCCACCCCCCTTCCCAGCACGGACACGCTGGCCGGGCACGGAGAGATACGACTGTTTCCCGCGCCCCCACTCCCGAGTGATCGCTCCAGCACCCACGGCCGGGCTGAGCCTGTGGAGGGAGGGGTGGCGCAGCCCTCTCCGAGGTCACCGCGAGACCACAGTGCGCCCCCCGGCCAAGATGGGGGGGAGGGGGGGAGACAAACAGAGGCCGAGAAATGGGGAGCGAGACAGAGATGGGGTGCTCCTACCGTCCACGTGAGGCTTCCCTCCGTTGAAGTAGCCCAGGAAGCCCCTGCCGCCCGTGCCCGAGTCCGAGACCATCTCCACCATCATCCTGTGGGAGGTGGAGATCAGGGCGCCGGGGCGGAAGGTGCCGCAGAAGCGGCCCAGCCGCTGCGCCGTGTAGGAGTGGCCGTTGTACACCTCCACGTAGTCGAAGCGGCACTGGGGGTCGGCCTCCAGGTCGAAGACACGGAAGGACAGCATGACCACGTGACCCTCAGGCACCTGCCAGCCAAGAGAGAGGGAGGACGTGAGGAGGAGGAGGAGGAGGGGAAGGGAAAGAGACTGCTCCCTGGACAGCCTGCCAGACGTGCGAGACCGCCTGAGCCGAGCCCCCCCGGCTGTGCGGTGCGTATGTCCTACCGTGATGTACCAGGTGCACTTGCGGTCAGGCTTGTAGTAGCTGGGGAACCCCTCGCTGCCCACGAAGCCCGAGTCCGCGATCAGCTCGCCTCCACAGTTAAACACTGGCCTGTGGAAAGGGAGAGGAGATCAGATACTGGAGAGCAGGGGTCTGGCGAAAAACTACAAACAACATCTCACTTGTCTGTTGTTATGGCTCCCTGCATTCTGGGACTCAGTTCAAGTACTCAACATCCTCAAAGGCATTGAGACCCAGTGGAACTCTTCAGGATCAGCAGTGAACAAGACCCAGTGGACACCAGTGGAACAACCAGTCCATTAAGAGCTCGGGTTAAATTTGAATTAAGAGCCTCATGAACTGAAAATCCTCGCAGGGCCAGAGGAAGAAACCCCCTTTTAATCTAGATTTTTAAATCCACAGGTCTGGCTGGGAAAAACAGGATATTGCAGACAGACGGGGCTCTGTGTGAAAAGAGAGTGGAGAGGAGGGCAATGAGCTCACAGTCTTGACCCCGACTCTTCTAGAAACCTGAGCCCCTGAACACAGGCTGAACACAGCCCTGAGACATTGTACACACACCCTGAACACAGCTTAAACACAGACCTGAGAAACAGTACACACACAGCCCTGACACACTGCACACACATACACAGGCCTGACACACTGCACACAAAGCCCTGACACAATGCACACACACACACAGCCCTGACACACTGCACACACACAACCCTGACATAATACACACAGACATCCTGAAGACTTCCTGTCCTCCTTGGGTTTGACAGATCCAGAGTCTTGTTAGACAATGGAAATGGCAAGAGAAAGATAAGGGAGACAGGACCCGCTGAGAAAGATCAGAGACAGGGTGCGGGGGTGTCATCACAGAGCACATTCCACAGATTCCAGCCTTCCGGAGTCTTCTGGACTGCTGAGATTCCTGGAAAGAAGAGCTGCCTGCTCCCAAAAGGCACAGAGCAGCACTGTCCTTATCACACACACTGACACACTCAACCACAGACACGCACACACTGACACACACAACCACAGACACGCACACACTGACACACTCAACCACAGACACGCACACACTGACACACAGAGCATGAAAACACACACACTGACACACTCAAACACGCACACACTGACACACTCAAACACAGACACGCACACACTGACACACAGAGCATGAAAACACACACTGACACACTCAAACACAGACACGCACACACTGACACACTCAAACACAGACACGCACAC